CGGGTGAAACCCCGTCAGTGAAGCCATATAACAATACAGGTATCTTCATATCTATTACACGTACAAACTAGATATTGATGATCTCTTTATTCCTCCCCCCTCCTTTTGCTTTTTTCCCTTTTCTATGTTGAAAGTGACTCAAGTAGGCAAAATTATTGACTATCCATGCGAAAAGCCAAAGATTGATGAACTGGAGGGAAAATTACTAGTTGAATCATCTGAAAACCCAGGTATATCCACATCTATTACAAGTAAAAATTAGATATTGACAATCTCTTTATTTCTCCACCTCCTTTTGCTTTGCTTTTTCCCTTTCTCTGTTAAAAGTGACTCAAGTAGACAAGATTATTGACGATTCATGCGAAAAACCAATGAATGGTGAACTGGAGGGAGAACTAACAGCTGAATTATCTAACAAAACAGGTATATCCACATCTATTACACGTACAAATAAGATATTGACAATCTCTTTATTTCTCCCGCACCCTTCTTTTTCCTTTTTTCCTTTTCCTTGTTGAAATGACAATAGAAGACAGTAATTTTCCTTTACACGAAGTGACAAAGATTGATGAACTGGAGGGAAAATTACTAGTTGAATCATTTGATAACCCAGGTATGTCCACATCTATTACAAGTAAAAATGGGATATTGACAATCTCTTTATTTCTCCACCTCCTTTTGCTTTGCTTTTTCCCTTTCTTTGTTAAAAGTGACTCCAGTAGACAAAAAGATTGAATCTTCATACAGCGTTAACACGGATATAAAAAAGACAGTGGATCCATTTATTCAGACAGGTATTTTCCCATCTATTACACGTACAAATTAGATATTGATGATCTCTTTATCCCCGCCCTTTTCTCCTTTTCCTTGTTGAAAATGACACTAGAAGACAGTATTACCACTTTAAACAAAGAGCTGATGAATGTTAAAACGGAAGAAGAACTGTCAGATGAATCATCTAACAAAACAGGTATGACCACATTTATTACCCGTACAGATTAGATATTGATAATCTCTTTACTTGTTTAGAAATACTGGATAAAATGCCTGAGTATGATGAAGGTACGTGTAGTTTATAGCTGCTAAAGTTGCACCGTGACTAATTCCATCAACTTCAAAAAGATATTGGAAATAAGAGCTTATTCGGAAATATAGGTAGCCCCAATAATTCTGTGACAGACAAAGAGAGTTGGAAATATAGTAGCTCATGTGATGTTAGCCAAAGTAATGACAAAGCAGAGTTAAATGAAGTCTCAGTAGACATTCAGAAGGAATTTAATTTCAATATCGAAAGATACAAAACCATGAATGGCGAATGGAACTGTACTGTACTGTCAGAAGAAATATATCCAAAAGATGAACTTATCACTGAAGAGGACTGTTTCAAGTACGAAAATTATTTAAACACGGAAGCAGATATTTTACACCTAAACTTTAAAAATGCGATTGAAAAATTGAAAGAAGAGCTCAAAAAAAAAATGAAGACAAAGAAAAAGAAAATGAGGACATTGAAAAGGAAAAGAACAAAGCCGAGGAATTAACAAAAGAATCCAAAAAAACCTACGAGGAGCTTCAGAATCTTATAAACCAAGCAGACAACAATTTATTTATTCCTGAAAATGAAAAAGAGATACTCACTGCTTACAGCGAGATGAAAAAAGATATCGAGGAATGCCTTGGCGGACAAACTGAAGATATAGGAAATATGATTACAATAATTTTTAGCGAACTTATTTGCTGCGACTTTACTGGACTAGATACTATAGGAGAGTTATTTGAATCTTCTGGACACAAGAACTGGACACTTCAAGCAAGGAAACAGGCGGTTTGTTTTATGATTGAACCACAATTTGATAATGTCAAAACTGCAAAAACCGCTGAAAGTGTTGAGGATAATTCTCTCAAAAAATTTAATAAGATTATTGGCGCATTTCAAAAGAAGTACAATCGTCCATTTCTAGTAAAAAACGAAGATAAATTACATGACGCTATCAAGAAAGCAGATTTACTGTCCAAATACGCTGTAGCTGGGGAGCACTATTCTCTAAAAGAATGGACTTATGAAGGGTTAGAAGGTTTACAGCCAAAAAGTACAGAGTCCACACAAGTGAACGAAAGTATAAATAATGCGCCAACAGACAAGACTATCAAAGTTGAAGCTATTTCCCCAGTCAAAGTGTCTCCAGGGAAAAATCAAAATGAGCATCAAGGTGAGCATCAAGGTGAGAATCCGAATGAGAGCCAAAGTGAGACTCAAGGTGAGGCTCAAAAATACCCTTCTAAACAATTAAACGAAGACAAAGTAGTCATCGAAGTAGTCATCGAAGCCAGCAGAAAAAATCCAGTTGCAAAACATCTCCCCGGCCCCCCTCCTCCTCCTCATTCTTCAGCGACTCATGGGGGACAAAAGCGTGCTACTGATAACCAATTAATGCCAGTAGACAACAGAGGTGGAAAGGAGGACAAAAGTAAAAAAAAAGAAAAATCAAACAGTGTTAATCATAAGCTAGAAAATTATTCTGACAATGCGTCAAATCAGTTACAAAAGTCACTTAGTCAAGAAACCTCCAGTTCCGGAAGGCAAAAAACCACTGGTAGAGAAAAGGGCCAAGAAAAGCAAAAAGGTTTACTCGGCACTTTTAAATCATTCTTCTTTGGAAACGTTAGCCAATAAAATGTTTTAAGTTTTTCCAGAACTTTTTTTCTTCATAGATACATTGTTAGTTATAGGCTGAAATAATTAGCTGCACAGATTGATACCAGTAGTAAACTTGTTTATCGACAGCCGGAACCATAGTAAATCAAGGAGTGTGAAAATCCTTTGATTTGTGAAGATCTAATGAGTCCTCTTATTATTAAAATCGAACAAACAAAATTTTAAACCTAAAGCCGAAGTACAAGAAAATAGATAAAAATGGCTTTTTCTTTGATACTGTATTGAGCCTATTTCACCACTTTCACCAATTTCATCACTTTCACCAATTTCACCACTTCTACCAATTTCACAACCAATTTCACAACCGATTTCACAGCCTAATTTCACTGATTTGCTTGGATCCATTTACGATCTCAGATGACAGCAGAGCAGCCAAAATCTTTAGTAAATTGCTCAGTTCTTTGTTTCTTATTATTTGTTGAGGATATCATAGATATAATAATAAAGTTAATTGTCACATCACATTAAGGATGAATAATAATATAAAAGTTAATCATGAATCACACATTACCCCGCTTGTTCTCATCCTACCGTTGAAGTCTGTACACAGGGCACAACCCTGTGGCGAGTAAATATTTATTCTGCAAAAAACAATACAATCGAATGGGCCTGGACTATAGAATATTAATAGATCCTGAGCACAAATATTATTCTTGTCATTTGATGTTATAACTGTTGATCCCTCTGACTAATATTTATCTACTCAGTATGGAAGGGTTAAATTTAAAGACATGTTGATTATTTACTATCACCAGATTATTACATCATGATCCAATAAGGCGCTTAATATTCTCCCTAGAACTATCCCAGTTCTTTATATAAATATCCATAGTTTTTTCTCATAGACCATGAATACGTTTTTTAATTAATTTATTTTTTTCTTCCATAATAAAGTGGTATCCAAGTTCTAACAGTATCACTTTTGGTTTATTTTAAATTTTGTTCTCCATGCAAAACATTATTGTAGTTGTTGAAATATCGTCTTCATACAAGTCTTCAATACAACCAAATATTCTCTCGACTTTTCCACTTTGTTTAAATTGACGTTTCAAAGATGTAATAGTATTCAAACTAGTGTTCGAACTTTTCGAGCTTGCACCGATCTTGCGCCAGTTCGAACGAAGCTCGAACCGAGTTTTTGTACTCGAGCTTGCGCCACTTTTTTTGGGTTCGAGCGAGCTTCGATCGATGCTCGCTCGAAGCTCGCTCGGCTAAAATGTCGATAGTAGTCACTTTAAAGTTAAGGTCCTTGAAAGACTACAGATGGCATTTCCCCTTGATTATAATCTTATCTTCACTTTACCATTTTTTTTTATTTATGCTCTAATAATTCCAACTAAAATGCTTTGGACTTTTATTTAATTGTACAACCAACAAACACATTTACCATAGAAATGATACAGTGTTGCACACTATGCCCAACTAAGCCATATTTTTACAGCAACCATAGTAACATGACGTAGCAGAATTAATTTAAGCTTTCATGTTCGCAAATCCAAATGTATTATAAATATAGATGCAGTAATAGTTTGATTTAAGTATCCGAATTTGGTGTTAAGGCTGGTGAAAAAATAAGTTTTCTTTTTCTTTTTCCAACTTCTATTTCAATAAATAACAATTTTATTATCATAAATTTCTGTAATTAACATCACTTTGACGTGCACTTTGTGTAATAAAAAGGGCGAGCGAGTTCGAGCTATCGTATTTGCAACCGAGCCGAACTTAAGAAACTTCGAGCGAGCTCGAGCTGCAGAAAAATGCATCCGAGCGAGCTTCGACTGGAACACGATCGAAGCTCGCTCGAGAGTTTCGATCTTCATTCCGAACACTAATTCAAACTCAAGCTTGCTTCAGCTCCATTTTCCCACACTTGAGTTGCGATGTGCTTGAAAAGCTTTGACGCGGCCGCAACACTGGAATCTCTGTCTTGATTGCGGGAGCGATCTGCGATTGTCCATATTGTTCAAGGTCTTGTTCGAACATCATTAGTAAATTTAGACGAAAATCGATAACACAGGTAGGTGGACAATCGATCAAACTTGGATCTTAGTTGGCGTAACTAAGCATGTTCATCGAATGGATAAAGCAAATATTGGTGAGAAGATCTAATTCCATCAAGTCGCGTATTTGCTTTTGTCGTCATTTCAATTTCTTGAAGTTTGCATTTCTCAATAAAGATCCTTGTACTTCTACTTGGTATGAATCCATTTGAACTAGAGGCACCGACAACTACTGGCTGATTGCTTTCCAGGCGTATAGATGAAGTAATCAAAACGTTCATAGTTTTGGTTCCCAACACTGATTTCTTAGCATTATCATTGTCAATCAAGCATAATTCTACATTTTGGTATCTTGTATCAGTGTAAGGTAAAGAGGACTGGGGGATGTTTCCTTTTGTTGATGATGTCTTTTCATAGTGTGTATCCAGCGATGAGAGTCTTGAATCTATCTCTCCACCAAGAACAAGTAAAGACTTGCCTCCCTCCACAAAAACAGCCTCTTCCAATAAATGGGCACATGATTTAGCTGCCATTGGATTTAAAGTCCAGCTGTTGTTTAGCAAAAGTGCAGTCTGAGGATCCAACTCGATGTACGGACAGAAAAAGACCCCTTTGTCATTCATGATCACCCTTTTTGAGACTATTAAGTCAAATATTCATTAGTATCCAAAAAAAAAGAACGTTAAGCTTGCACTTGCCTTTATTCAACTCAACAGTGATTTCTTTGCAATGAAAGCGGTAGACATGAAGGTTTAAGATTTGTTTTGATGAAAGCAATCTTTCGCCAGTATATTCACAACCATTTACAGTGCAATCACAGCCATTTACAGTGCAATCACAGCCATTTACAGTGCAATCACAGCCATTTACAGTGCAATCACAGCCATTTACAGTGTAATCACAGCCATTTACAGTGCAATCACAGCCATTCACGGTTCGTGAGTTCCAAAACTCATGAACTCTCTGCCTAGGAGGTCGCCCTTTTATAGCAAAGACTAGCCGCAGCCGCAATATCACAATATTTCTTTTTCAATTTAGCTTCTTTTCAAATAAACAAGAGTCACTACTAAACAAACCTTTTTACGTGATTGGTTACTTTCATACGATAAAAGAAGTATGTCGAGGGAAAAGAAAAGAAGAAGAATAAAGTGTGTGAACCAGCTTTATGTATAGATAAACAAGCTTATGTCAGGATGATTTCATTTGTCTATTTTATCATCCATAATGTTTAAGCCTTTATTTAAAATAGAAACACTTGCAAAAACCTCCCAAGCAAGTCAGAGCTTGGTAATTGTCTATCTGCGTTCCAATAGTAGCTTGTAATGACAGTGAAGCAGATTTTATGGAAAACAGAAATCGATCATCCTATGAAGTTTAGATAATATGGCATGTAAATCGACGTGTAGACCATCGCGTGATTCTAAACAATACGTTTGAAAAAAAAAATACGGAGTTCTAGACATTTCCCAATCTTTCCCAATCTTGACAAACAAAAGAGCTTATAGAATTTAAAGATGAAGAAAAAAGAAAGTGGTCAGAAATCGGTTGTGAAATTGATGAAATTGGTGAAAGTGGTGAAAGTGGTGAAAGTGGTGAAATAGGCTGTGTACAGTCGACGAAAAAAGGTAGGCCCAAAAAAAAAAAAAATTGGTCAGTTTGAAATGAAAATGGGTCACTAAGACGAAAATGGATCATTGTTTTGAAAATGGGTCACCAATACAGAAATGTAATGAGGATTGGCCAAGTTCTCTCTTCTTTTTCTCTTCTTCAATTTTTTCATGTCGCTTAACATGAACGAAGAATACAATTTTGACAGTGAGACAGTACCTGTAATGATACAATCATATATGGACTGGGAAGAGACTGCAGCAGTAAATGCAGCACAAAAAGAAGCTAAGAGGAAGACCAAAACTCACTCCAAGGATCCCTCCCTTGATTTAGTGAAGAAGGAAAGGGAATCATACATTACCAAGAACAAAGCAAAGGTAGTCAATTTGATCAATTTGTTGCAAGAGTTTGAGAATATGTATCAGTGAAGCGAATAGAAAGGTAGGGCTCTCCAAGTCAACAGCTGCTCGTAAACTCAAGCAGTAGAATCAAATGACAAGCGAAATAGCTGAAAAAGGATTCTCTGATTCTATCGCAATCGAAGAAGGAAAGGGACGACCCACGATACTCAAAGACAAACATACTGTATTTATCTTTAAGCTGCTGGCTTATGAGCCAACATTGACAGTCGAAGCTGATACAAACCACCTGTCAAAAGAATTTAGAGATATACAGATCACTCCCCCCCCCAGATCAGTGGAGAATCACATGAAGAAGAAGTGTTGCCTAATCTACAAGCGTATCATTCCTAAATATTATGGCAGAAACACGGATGAAACTGTTGCCAAAAGACGAGATGCGGTAACATACTGGGTTAGCCAGAACATAGACTTTATGAATAAATATGTATTCTTGGGTGAGGCTGGCTTTAGTAGGAGTATGCATCGCTCATATGGATGGTCTGAGGCTGGAACACCTTGCAAAATTGATGTTCAAACGAAGGGAGCAAATATCAGCATATTGGGTGATATTTGTAAAAGTGGTTTAATCACATTATCCAGAAAAGAAGTTGTGCTTACTGATAGGAGTGGAACTCGAACTCGAACTGGTGAGAAATCTCAGGTCCCCAAGAGGAAGGGTACTACCAGCAGTGACTTTCTTGAATACATAGAGCAAGTCCTCACGACACTGGATGCGGCTAACATGAGCTACAAATATCTAGTTCTTGACAATGCATCCATTCACAAGGCTGCACTTATTGAAGATTGGGTTGGGCAACGTGGCTATGAACTTCTCTTTTTGCCACTTTATTATCCTTTTGTAAATCTGATCCAAGAGTTTTGGTCCAAGCTGAAAACTGTTGTAAATAACGATCCTTCTTCTGTCAGGCAGAATGAAAAAATCTCTGATCGTATTCACAACGCATCACTTCACATCAGCAGAGAAGATTGTGAGAATTGGATAAAGCATTCTTTGACGTTCTGGCAGAAATGTTTGAATTGTGAAAAAGGATTATAAGAAACAAAATAAAAAGCATACATTACATCTCTTTATTGGTGACCCATTTTCAAAACAATGTATCATTTTCGTCTTGGTGACCCATTTTCATATCAAACTAGCCAATTTTTTTTTATTGGGCCAACCTTTTTTCGTCGACAGTATCTCCTACCAAAAAACAAGAAAAGGACGCATAAATTTCCCTTAATCTGAGAATGACGATGGTCTTAGTAATTTAAGTATATCTTCTTATATTCAAAAGAAAATAACGAGACCCCATTTGACAAGACCAAAACTGGTTTTAGCTGTAGTAGGAATAGCACTAGAGTATTGGGTTCTCTGACAAGTAATTCTAAATATCCCGCTAAATATTTCAGGGCTCACAGGGCGACCAGTCGGGCAAGCAGTTTATTGCGATACGCGAAGGCTTCTTTCGATAAACAGTTGACATGCTTCTTTCGACGGAGACTGGCCAGCGTCCTGATTTACTTTCTTCTTATCCCCCCCCCCCTTTTTTTTTTAATTTTATCAAGATATTTTCACCATTGAAAAAATGGGAATCGCAGATTTTTTATTTAGAAGAACAGCGTCAAGACACATGTAACAGATGTTCTAACGACCAAAACGTTGTTCCACTTTAGAATATTTATATAGACATTTGGAGAATAAATCATAATTCAAACAGTGATAATTTGAGCAATTAGCAATTTCTGTGAGACGAATGTGCCAGGGAGGATAACCATCCAATGAAATGTAGTTATGTGGAAGTCCATCGTAAACAATCATGAGGTCCGGATCCGAGATCGTGTCCACTATTGAAAGTATTAGCCAACGCATCTTTTGTTTTATACACACACACACACAAAAAAAAAAATCTTACTGTGCATGTATTCATCCACTAGTCTCATGTCAATCTTATCATTGGGACTCGCTTTCATTGCAATTTCTTGTGTTACATGTCCCATGTGGGCTCGACCATTTTCACCTGATAATATTGAGAATTTAATAACTAGGGAAACACAACAAATTAATATTCTTCTTTTATAGCAATAACAATTATATAATACCGTACCAGGTCGTTTTTTCTCTTCAAGCGAAGATCTATTTATCCACTGATGTAACATTGCGGATTGCTGTTTGTACAAGTCAATCGCCATTGACTTCATTACACCTTTTTCAAAACATACTGTCAGTCCTTTCCCGTTCAGCTTTCATGGACAAATAAAGTCACTAACCTGATGCATCATACACAGACACTTCCTTGATACCAAATTCCCAAGCCCAACAGGTTGCGAAGGATATATTATACATTGTTCGTTCCCAATCCTCTAATGATCTGGTACTCAACAATTCGCGAGAGACATTGATAGTGAGGTGCTGAGGTATCTTTGTCAATTGTGCTTTATCAAGTTGAATGCGTTGATGGATATTTTGATCATTAAATCGAATAGATATATAAATGTTGTAAAGATATGTATGTAGTGTTTTGATAGCAATATATGAAATGTATGTAAAATGAAGAGCGTATAGGATCGATGTAAGGAAAACATCAAACACAGAATTACCTCCGCTTCCTTTTTCCTTTCTGTTTTTTATTTCTGTCTCTGATTCCAGTATCTTTTGTGGTATATCATTTGTTGAAAGTTGTAGTAAAGATGAACTGGTTTGTTCTTGTTCCAATATTTCTGTCAAGACGGTAGTCATTATTTTTTTTTTATTTTAAATAAAGAAAAAAAAGACAAAAAAAAGGGCCATAAAAAAAAATAATAAATAAAAGAGTTATAAATAAAACCTGGCTTTTAAAAAAAAGACCCATTAAAATCGAGACACACATGCCAGTCAATTTTTTTTTCTTTCACAGCTATCATCATCATCAAATGTTTCAGCTTTTATATTTAGCATATTTATGCCTTCTTGCTTCATCCAAATCAAATAAATAAACATGATGGCTAATAACGTAATCCAAATAGCGTACAAGATAAATATTGTAGTGCTTAGTCTTTTCACCTTCATGCCAAGAGGAATATTGATCAGTGCCAAAACCATCAAGATTTTACCAAACCAAATGTGAACACGATTATTCCAGGGACGACCGCTTGGTAAACAATCATTTTTTAATCTATATCGAAAGATACAGTGATTCGTGATACCCAATATGACTTGTATCCATGCACCAAATGTTAATACTGTGCCAATGCTCTATATATATATAGATTAAATACTCTGTATGATCACGTCCTAATTTTCTGTCCTTACCGAATGTGGTTTATAGATATTACTGGATCCCGCTACATAAAATGCCATTAGGGCAGATATTGTGAATGGCAAAAATGCTGCAGTGGCCATCGTAACCATATGTACTTTAATCCCCCAGGTCTTATTCTTCTTTCTTGCATACATACTTGCCCCAACAGCCATTGGTACCGCTACTAACCAAACAAATGCCATAAGCCCACCATGGGTTAACATAAGCGTATTTCTCAATTGTCTATCAATCATAAGATAACTTTTTTTTTAGGTAAAGAGAGAAGAGAGAAGAAAAAGAATGTGATGATATATACACATTTATTATTATGATATCAATTTGACTGCGTTTGTTAGTTTTCCCAGTGGTTCTTTCATTTCTTGAGGAATGTATTCTAACAATTTTTCAAAAAGTCGCGTTCTTTCTGCATACAAGGCATCTAAAGAAAAAAAAATGAATAACACAAATAGTCGTAACTTTGTGTGTATATTTTACCTTCCGATTTTACAATTTCGCTCATGAAGGAATCTTTGGCTACATCATCATCTTCCATTGTTTTTAACAAGCACAGGTTTGCGCACATTTGATGAAATTCATTGGATTCTGTTTCGTTATCATGGTTTACAACCGGTGCAACTTGTGTGCGTAAATAATCCAAAGCTGTCAATGTTTCTGAGCTCACATTATCATCGGTATGTTTGTCACATGCCTTGCTACATAACTCTCTTAACTTTTGCATACGAATCATGTAAAGACTACGACGAAGAATTGAAGCTGGATCTGGTTTTGTTAATTTCAGTTCCCAGAAATCATCTAAGCGTTTACTAGAGTCTAAATGGTCTCCAGGGTTTCCACCAAATATATATTGTGTCCTTGTAGTAGGATCATAAACCATTTGATGTGCAAACCTTGGGCAAGGCGCATGGCTCACATCACGATTTTCGTTCTGATAGATTTTTTGCCATTCATTGTTTTTAATTGAGTAGACCCAAAGCGCATTACGAACAATGTCGCAACCTGGATTGCGCATATATCCTGACAACACGTATAATTCTTGTAAATCCTCGTCAATTGTGGCTCTCTGGGTAAATCCTGCGTCAGGTCCGGCATCTTTACTATAATCCTGAGCTATCTCTGTCACTACATCCTCATCCACAGCGTACTGATAGAGATCAGACAAATAATCCTTTACACGCTGCCCTGCAAACACGTATAATAATCGATGACTTTGATCAAACAGCATGGAATGACCTACTCTTGATTTTAAAGGTACACAATTTTTAGGTTCTGATGTTTTCATATCATCGTTCCTACATCATAATTTTTTTTAAAAGATCTGAGCGGGCTATCCCAAAAAAGAATAATAAATAAAAATATAATCCATGTTTACTTTACCTTACTAGTTTCCATTGATTTAATTTGATGTTGTAAGAGTATAAGCCACTGTAATTTTGAATGTTTGTATCACCGTTTACAGTTCGTCCCCCAAAAACATACAAAGTTTCACCTTGTGGATCGACGCACATTTGATGATCAAAAATTAATTCAGGACCTCCTTCACGCTATTTTTTTTGTTTTTTTGTTTTTTGTTTTTGAAAGGTGAGTTTTACATTTATCAGTGATACCGATACTACATTGTGTCTCAACTTACCGCAGTATGGTCATTCAGTTTTATCCATTGGTCAAACTCGACATAATATCTATAGAAATCAGATTCCAGGGATTGCCCAACAGGAGATTCAACATATCTTCCTAGTACAAAGATGGATTTACTGGCGGGATCAAAACATATCTTGTGACATGACCGAGGAGTTGGACCACCTTGACTAATATAAAAGTACTGTTTAACAAAAAAAACAGGAGGACAATTGGATGATGCTAATTTACTTACAGTTGAGTATCCAGGCTCAACAGGTGCCATCTATTTTCATTGATATCAAAGCACCAAAAATCCGCTAAATCTCTTTTTCCGTTCCAACCGCCTAATACGTAAATCATCCTATCATCTACATCAATACACATCTGATGACCGCCTCTTGCACTTGGAGAATCATCGAGCTGAATCTGTTTCCAGAAAGGAGTGTATTTTGCAGATTCTGAATAAGGTTTATAAATATTACGTAAATGAGCTTGTTGTAGCACTGTTTCTGCTGCACTGAAATCTGCATCCATGACAAGATGTTTATGCAAATCAGATAATAATGGATGTTCTAGTTCTACGCCAGTCTTGTTCTTTAAAATATCGAATACATCCATCATGTTTTTTTGACGGAAGTATTTCAAACAAAGACGGGTTGTTTCCGTTTCTTTAAACTTTTGTATGCATGAGTGAGTCTATGCGCACATGATAGAAAAAAATAAAAGGAGACTTACATTTTCGTATTCTGAGCAAACGCGTTGGATCACGGATTCCTCATTAATTCCTCGAATTTCCACATACCATATACTATAATTAAAATTTGCACCGAACGCAGAAAGTGGTACGATTTTAACGTATTTCATAGGAAAAATCTAACATTGTTTTATTGTTATTGTGTTGTGTGAAAGACGTTCATGCATTATTTTTACCATGTTTTTTTGTTGGTTCTTTAAAGGAAATGATTCTGGCTCAGTATCATTTTTCAGGCCTATTGTGGTCGTTTCAGTGATATGATGTAAGAAGTATAATCTAACTTACCGCTGTGTAATATCTCAATCATATCGTCGTTCGGGTCCATACCACCATACACTTTGAACTCTTTTAGATTACACACATGACCCTTATGAAATTTACCGAAAGTGATTGATCCTAAATGATACTATTTTAAAAATTCCCGAACGTTGAAGGATACATTTGTAATTTTGAACTTACTTGCAACAACAGGTGTTTCAAACTTTATGGTGATATATTGTTCATGGTCATGTAGTCCACTTGACCATCTTGACGCTTGCTGTGTAGGCATATTGACAGATATATGTTGGGGATGATAAGAGCCGGAATGAGAAGAATAATCATGGATAGTGTAGTCAAGTACGACTTCTTTGGACATTGCCATCATGGAAGCCGAAGATATTTGTGAAGCACGAGTCATATGTTGACGGGTTAAGGCAGCAATTGTGGTATTATCTGTCTTTGTAGGCGATGTGGTGTAATAGATGTTATTTAGTCTGCTCTGTAAAGTACTATGCTGATTATATCGCTTATTATTTCCTTGTAATTGGTTGCGTGGAATAAAAGATAATGGATGATTTGGCAATAAGCTTTCTTTACTTGTGTCTTCGTTGCTGCTACTACTGTCACTATTAAACAAATCCATAATCTATTTTTTTAGTTTATTGTAAGAAAGAAAGAAAAAAGAATTATAATTATGAAATAGATGGAGAATTTATTACCACTCACTGAGGAATGCCATACTTCGATGCGTTTTAAATTATTGGGTTAAAAAGAGAAGGACCTCATTGAAGAAGGTGATACCAACAAATAGTTAATGTTCGGATCGTTTACCTTCTGTGAAAGGCCACCATCATCTGCAATCTCCTTTGAGAGACCAATTCTTTATACTTTGGTCATTTGTGTGACACTATCGGCATGCTTTGATGCCAATTAAAACTTTGTCGGTATCGGCAGCACATTGGATCACAAGCACTTTTTTCGATTTGATTTTCTCAACAAGAGAGAGCAATAATAGCTACCCAGTCAGCCTTAGTTTTTAAGAGCTCATTCCAAATCGAGTTGAACATAATAATGGCTCTCCTTCTACATAGTCAAATATTACATTTTATTATTCCTGTGGTAACACCACCGTCGTCTCACATTTGACCTGAATACTGTTTTGTTGCCTTCTTGGCGAGTTCCCCATAAACGGAGCGTGTTGAAATCAAGGCGATAGAGTTTCCCAAGCCAGGAGGAGGAATACGTTGTAAAAGTCTATTTAAATAGACTAAAAATTTGTTTATTAACGACGCGAATTTAGATCTGACCAACTAATTATTTAATTAAGCATTTGTTTATGGCTAGATAAAGAAAGCACAAGGACAAAGTAATTTTTCGGAAAGGACAATCATAATTTTTTTTTTTTTGGGTTACAAAAAAATTTGCCAGCCGCAGTGTACGAGGATATTGGATCCCCCTTTTTGTTTGACCACCATGTCAAAATGCCAATTATAGTATGTGTATGACAGACGAAAAAACATCAACATTGGGGTTAATGAGCAACGTCATCATGACTTTTTCGGTTCATTTAAAAGGTGTTTGTTTCACATTGATATTTCATTGTAGCAGCCAGATGATGATAATCCCGATTTAGACAACAAAATTCCACTTTTTATTCTTTTCCGGTTTTCTCCACCTTTTTTTTCCTCTTTCACATATAATATATGGATACAAGTGAAGAGCCTCGAAAGAAACGAGCCAAGATTGTAAGCGCATGCAGCGAATGTCGACGAAAAAAAACAAAATGCAATGGAGAACAGCCATGTCGTAGCTGTGAAAAGTCAGCCGTCGAGTGCATTTATCCAAGTGCTACGGTAGAAGATAACAAAAGAGGAGGAAAACAAGCCTTGGAAGCTATCGAAGATAGACTGAAAACAATTGAAGACATGCTCAAAGCTATTCTTGAAACGATGCCCGCTAGCGATAGGCGATTACCTTCTATTCATAATTTGTCCGCTAATTTACTTGATACCAATAGACAGTTACCACCACTTAAACCTGATCCATTGGACAAATTAAAAAAAAGAAAGAGATAATTTTTTGTTTCATATCTTTTTTGAACAATAAAAAATAAACCTACCCATTTAATTGGAAGAGAGCCTTTTTTTCTGTCGTTACACACAAATGTAAGACATTCGTTGATTGTGACCTGTTATTTGGAAAGTCACTTTTTTTCTACTGATATTTAACAATGGCTGAAGAAAAAACTCATAGAAATCTTTTTAAGGATCTTTATTCATTCATATACATTTCTAAAGATGCCCACTACTGTTGATCATAAAGAAGGTAATTAATTTAAACACATAGTCTCACTAAGATAGAATACTCACACCTAGTTCTTTTGTAGCTCGTCCCGAGAAGAAGGAGAGAAAGGAGAAGAAGGAGAAGAAGGAAAAGTCTTCTCGCAAGAGAGAAAGAGAAGAGAAGACAGTTACCGAGGAAGCTACTGTTACTGAAGAAGTTGTCGTTGAAGAAGTTACTAAGGAAGTCGTTGAGATCTCTACTCCCTCTTTTGCTGAAACTGCTGAAGCCGCCAACAAGAAGCGTAAGATCATTGAAGAGATTGACATGACCGGTAAGGACATTCCTGAGAACTTGCGTCTCGCCAATTTCCGTATCTCTCAAGGTACCATTGACAACTTGGAGGCCAAGGGTATCAAGTCCCTTTTCGAGATTCAAGCTGCCACCTTCGATCTTATCTTCAACGGTAATGATGTTTTAGCCCGTGCTCGTACTGGTACTGGTAAAACTCTTGCCTTTGCTTTGCCCGTCATTGAAAAGTTGGCCCTCGATACCGAATATAAGGAACGTCGTGGTAGATCTCCCCGTGTGCTCGTTCTCTGTCCCACTCGTGATTTAGCCAAGCAAGTCTGTGGTGATTTCGAACAATTATCCGGTAACAGACTCAAGACCTTACCTGTTTATGGTGGTGTTCCTTACAATGAGCAAACCTCCGTCTTCCGTGATGGTGTCGATGTTGTCGTTGGTACTCCCGGTCGTATTCTCGATCATATCAAGTTCGGTAACATGAAGTTGCAAGACCTCAAGTTCATTATTCTTGATGAAGCTGATGAAATGTTGGATGCTCGTGGTTTCGAGGAAGATATGTTCAACTTGTTATCTTCTATTCAAGAACAAAAGGCTACCCGTGATTATCAAACTTTGTTGTTCTCTGCTACTGTCCCTGAATCTGTCATGGAGACTATCAAGCGTTTCCTCAAGGAAGATTATGAACGTATCGATTTAATCGGTAATGCCAAGAACAGAACCAATACCAACATTCGTCATATTGCTATGCCTTCTTCTTACCATACCCGTGCTGATATCATTGGTGATGTCGTTAATGTTTACGGTCGTAGTGGTTTGACTGTTATTTTTTGTGCCACTAAAGCCGATGCCAATGAATTGGGTGCCCATGACAAAATTAAGCAAGATGCCGCTGTTTTACATGGTGATATTGCCCAATCCTCTCGTGAATCTACCATGAAGGCTTTCCGTGAAGGTAAATACAAGTGTATTGTCTGTACCGATGTCCTTGCTCGTGGTTTAGATATTCCCCAAGTTGATTTGGTCATCAACTGTCAACCTCCTAAGGACCCTGAGTCTTATGTCCATCGTTCTGGTCGTACTGGTCGTGCTGGTCGCTCCGGTGTCTGTGTTACTTTCTTCAAGCCTATGGAAGAAGGTCTCTTGTCCTATATCTCTAAGCGTACCGGTGTTCAATTCGAACAATTATCCGCTCCCCGTCCTGAAGATATTATTGAAGCCACTACCGATGATGCTTTCAAGTCTATCGATTCAGTCAAGCCCGAAGTTTTGCCTTTCTTTGCCGAATCTGCCAGACAATTGATCGCTAAGCATGGTGCTGAAAACTCTGTTGCTGCCGCTCTTGCTTTCATGACTGGTTATCATCAAGGTGTTCCCTCTCGTTCTCTTTTGACCTCTCAAGAAGGACAAACTACCCTCATGATGCAATTATCTTACACTATCCAACATCCCGGTTATGTTCGTAACATCTTGACTCGTGAATACTCCGAAATTGGTTACGATGAAGTTAAGAGCATGCGTATGACTCAAGACTCCATGGGTGTTGTCTTTGATATCAACTGTGATAAGGTCGAGATTAAGGAAGACGGCAGTATTCTTTTAGCCGGTAAGCCTTGGACTACTCAAAACATCACTCTTAGTGCTCCCACAACTTTGCCTGCTCTTCAAGAACGTGAAAACAGAGGTGGTCGTAGCGCTTATAGCGGTGGTGGAGGCTATGGCGGTGGTCGTGGCGGTGGACGCGGCGGTTATGGTGGAGGCTATGGCGGTGGCCGTGGCGGTGGAGGAGGCGGTTACGGTGGAGGCCGTGGCGGTGGAGGAGGAGGATATGGTGGAGGCCGTGGCGGTGGAGGAGGAGGTCGCGGTGGTGGAAGAGGTGGTTACGGTGGTGGACGTGGTGGTTATTAAATCATGTCACCTACTCGTTTTTTCTCTCTTCTTTTCCCCTTATGATCTTCTAATTTTATTTTTTCAAAACGTGCATCCACTCATCTATTTAGCATTCAATACCTATCACACCTTTTTTTTATTATAAATTTAATTAGCAGTTATGAAATTCCCAAAAAAAAACTCCCAATAGAAATAAAAAAAATTGACTTTTTTTTATAAAATATCATCGTTATTTTCATCTTTTTTTTTTTCGATTTCAGATTTTTTTAAAAATGATATCAGTAAAAGGTCCCCTTAATCCTGTCAAAATTTAAACGCTTCAAGTTTGATATGTTTAATTTAAGAATATATGTTTTTATTTGCAAATCAATGCTTTGTGTTCCCATCTTTTGCTTCTATCACAGCCTCACACCGAGAGGTCATACTTCTGATCAATTTCTCTTAAAATGTCTATGGTACATCATACCACTTATCACGAAGAGCTGCTTCTAAATGTTTCCTATTTTTTATTTGGTATCTGCGGCCCTCCATGCGTCTCTCCAAGTAAGCCCAGACAAACTCGATTGGATTGATGTCTGGGCTTTGGGCAGGCCAAAAATCAAACCTGTCAACACTACATCTCGCCTTGTGCCAGCTTGCATAGCTGCCAGTATGTCATGAAGCGGCATCTTCTGGTGAATAAAGTCCTTGGATGTTTCTTTGGTGACATTTTCAAGCCAGGGAAAAAAGTGATTAGACAAACAGTCGATATAGGCTTCTTGATTTATTATGCCTTTTAACGATAACAAGAGGTCCTCATCCTCCAAATCTTACTAAACCGTTTTTTAAGTTTACAGTCTTCTAACAAGGTTTGGGTGATGCCTTGCCCCTTCTTTCCTGACCACTCGGACCCTTCCATCACTACCTTGGACGTTGAACTTGGACTCATTCGACCAAATAACGTCTCCCAATTGTTCTGGGGTCCAATTCACTTTATCTTTGTCCCAAGTGGGTCTTCTTTGCATGTGTCAAGGCATCAATTTTGGTACATAAGTTGGGGAGTAAGAACCAAACCCGTTGATAGTCGTATACTTGCTCAAAATCCGTCTATGCATGTTGATTCCTACGGTCTTCAATTTCTCTTTGTGGGTTACAAATGGCACAAAGGGTTCTTCCCTAAAGCTGCATACATCTGTACGTTAGTCTTTTTCAGACAACTTAATTTGCTTTTATTTACGTGTCTCTGCAATACGGGTACCAGTTTCCTTCCAACGATTGACGCAATCGACGATCGTTGATCTAGGTATGGACATGGCGCATTGAATGTCCGCGATCCCACATGTGTTACCATCGAGTTGTATACGACGCTTGGGAGTGTTTTCGGTAATGTCTATTAAGAGCATGGTTGGTTGTATTATAAAAGGGGGAGAAAAACGGTTATTTTTCGACGTCTTCAACAAAAACCCTAAAATAGAAATCACGGTGACCATATCATCAAGCCGTTTGTTTTCTTTGTGATTTATCTGTAGTAAGCGTCTCTGTGAATGTATTGAAATTAAAAATCTAACAATAAATCGAGAGAAGCTGATTGACTTGCTTACTAATACAACAAAAGATCGCTTTATACTTTCGAATAATTACCAGCCACACAAAGCAGCTAACAAATTCAGGCTGTCGGTTAATTATTTCAATCGTGGTAAAACTATATACCCAGAAAGTAGCGTAAAATCCACCTTGCCTCTCGTAAAAGTGGTTTATAGAAGAACTATAAAACGGGGCGGGGTATGATGCCATAATTGCATATTAAACCAACATCATTGGAATCTATCTTTTGGAAAACCACGCTGTGGTTCCTGTAAAAGCGACCAGGACAAGAAATAATCGAAATCTTGACAGCCTAATGTTTGTGATGTGTGTTTCACAAAAAAATATGATGTCATTTTGTCAGTTAACATTGCATGAAACACAGCACAGTATCAACATCAATCGTTAGCCATCTTTTGCGAAGGGTAATATCGGTCAGAACACAGATGTTTGGCGGGATAAGAATGTATTTGCAATGCTAATCTCATTTCTTTAAATTGTAATTTTAATGTGGGGTCTGGCTCCTACCCTATCTTTCCCGATAGCAAGTTTATCAATGCGTTTACATTGACCTCTAGTTCTAATATCTATTGCAATAAATATTCTAAATTTACGTGTTGATTTCAATTTATTCGGTTTTCTGACATAGAGATTCTATGTAAACCTTGTTATCACATTTGACATTAAAAAATTATGATTCATATTTTTTTAATTAACGTATTATACCTCTACAGGCGGCTGTCGCGTCTAGGCGATTTGACGATAAAGATAAAAATTGTGCATATTAGCGCTGTTTCACAAAAAAAAGTTGTAATGATAATAGATTATGGCATTAACTTTACCCTGTCTTGACAATGCTTGATGTATACATATCCTTAACATCAAGGTTACATATGAGACATATGTGCGTCTCAATGTTGCCTTCAAGATTTGTTATAATATATTATATAGCAGTTCATACATTGTACGTGATATCATTCCGAACTTTGTCTCCCTCGGTCTTCCTAGCGGCTAACTCAATAAGGTTCCTGGTATCCACAGCGCTATTTTTTGTTAATATGCACCCGGTTTGTACCATTGTAAGTCAACTGAAACACGCTTCCATTTTGACTTTACGATTAAATCTCAAGCTTTTATGGTACAATACATAGATACTTTGAAGTATAGCTTTTGCTGCACATATGTATACAGGACATACCCATCTCACCCTTCAGTTTGTTCCAGGCAATTATGGACCTATATTTTTACATTATCCGATAAGCTTCATTTATTTTTTTCGGACACAGATCTGTCGGTTTATAATTCCGATCATGAAAGAAGAAGAAAAAAATGACACTCATACCCGTCACTTTCTATACACCCGTCACTCATGGTCTTTCACCCGTCACTATTCTTCTATGGTTTTCCAGCACGCAAACCTTTGTTATTTACCTAATGAAGGTAAGACTTCCATTTATTTTTTGTGGATTGATTGAATACGTGACAGTACAACGAATATTTATTGAATTTACATTTATGTCATTATTTTGAAGGCTTGAAAATCGATCCATTGTAGGCTGTAGAAAATTGGAAAAAATTGATTAGAAATCAACTTTTCCTTCCCCTAGATCTGTCATTAAAATTAAAAAATTTGACAGGATATAAAAGAAGACCATAATTCAATCTATTTTTTCTTTTTTTTTTTCATAATAAATTATATCAATTAAAAATGTCATCTGAAAATACTTTCCACGGCTGGGCCATTACTGCTAAAGGTACTTGTTAACAAAAATAAATGGTCAATGTTTTATATATTAATTGAGCTTTTTTTTTACAGACAAACCTTTGGAATGGATCGAGTTACCTTTAAAGAACTTTGACCAAGACAGTGTTGATATGAAGGTCAGCCATTGTGGTGTCTGTGGCTCTGATATCCATACTCAAGAAGAAGATTGGGGTAAGACTGATTTCCCCTGTGTTACTGGCCATGAAATTGTCGGTGAATGTACACGTGTAGGTGAAAACGTCAAGCATATTAAGGTCGGTGATCGTATTGGTGTCGGTGCTCAATCTGGCTCTTGTGGTGAGTGTAAGGAATGTAAGAGAGGTGATGAAAACATCTGTCAAGGCCGTTGTACCTATACCTATAACAGCCGTTACCCTAACGGTGATAAGTCTTTCGGTGGTTATGCTGACAAGTGGAGAGGTCACCAACGTTTCGTTTTCAAGATCCCCGATAATATGACCAACGAAGTTGCTGCCACTTTCTTCTGTGCTGGTGTTACCACTTACTCCCCCTTCAAGCGTTACGGTGTCAATGCATCCAGCAAGGTTGGTGTTATCGGTATTGGTGGTCTTGGTCACTTTGCTGTTCAATGGGCTAAGGCCATGGGTGCCGAAGTTGTTGCTCTTTCCAGCTCAGACAGAAAGCGCGATGATGCCATGGAACTTGGCTGTGATTCATATGTTGTTACCAGCAAGCCTGAACAAGTTGAACCCCACAAGGGTACATTCACTCATATTCTTGCTACCCATATCAGTGAGGACTTTAACTGGGGGATGTACTTCAATTTGATCGATACCAACGGTTACTTCATCATGGTTGCACTTCCTGAAGCTCCTCTTTCCGGTATTCCTTCCATGATCTTGGCCAGTCGTCAAATTGCTCTTGTAGGTTCAATGATTGGTTCTCCTGCTATGATTGAGGATATGTTAAACTTTGCCGCTGAACATGATGTTAAGCCTTGGTTGAACAAGTATTCCATGAAGGACTGTAACGAAGCCATCCAAGCCTTTAAGGACGGAAAGCCCAGATACAGAATCATCTTGGAAAACTAATTTGTACACCTTCATTTCCCCTTGTATATCCACATATTTTATAGAACTCGCAATAAATGTATTTTCAAATTTTCATTATTTACGTTTTTTTTTTAACTCAATCAGTTGGTATCGGCTGTAACCAACAAAAAAAACGCCCTTTGTGTTTGAAACAGTAAGCGACTGTGTTCTAAATAGACTTCCGCGATAATTGCAATGATAATGCTGTTAGAATGGAGACCTTTTTTATAGCTTATCATAAATTTATGACATGTCGGACATTCTTATACGAGAGCTTAATTAGTGATGTATACATATTACAGCACCTTACTTTTGCTAAGTTTTATAGCTAGTTAAAATTCATGGGTATATTGTTATTATCTAATTTGCCAATTCAATCAACAAATATTTGGAAGAAAATAAATAGTCTTCACTTTTGTCCTTTTCTCACTTTCTCATTGGTATACTAATGTCTAACGAGGAGAACACAAAAAACCCATCGGAAACGTGCAAAGAAAATGAACGCGTTATCAAACTCAATGTCGGTGGTACGTCTTTTAGCACGGCGTTTAGCACTTTAAAACCATCAAAATATTTTGAGCAGCTGCTCAATAGCAATAATGTTGAAGCACTTGAAAATGGAGAGGTTTACATTGATCGAGATGGAGAACTGTTTGGCATTATCTTGGAGTATTTAAGAAGTTACAAAATTCATGACACTGGTGATTTGTATGAGCTAAAATGCGAAGCACAGTTTTACCAATTAGATTCTCTGGTTTGTTTGCTCGATAAGATGTTGCAAAAAAAATGTGACAGTAAGAAAAAAGAATTCAAGTTGGTTACCTTGGACGAGTTGGCATATGAAGTGTGTTTGTCTGGATTCAACAGCAAAAATGTGACTGAAACACTATCCAGCCGATATGAGTTTGTATCTGTTGTAACATTCTGTTGTAAAAAATGGAATTGTAAAACTCATGGTAGTTATCCAACCTGCCATATGTCCAGAAAGAGTTGTTTTTCAAGCAATTTCTACTGGGAGCGAGGTGACCAAAGGCAGCTACTTCTCGTATCTAAAATTCCCCAGTAAGCATTTTCGGACGGTTTTAATTCTATTTTAATCACATGTTTACAATAAACTAATACTTAAGCAATGTGGCGATAAATCAAATCAACTTACATAATGTTGATGTAATCATGTGTCCTTTCAATTTACATGTATATTAATTGAAGAGCAATTCCCGCTGTTTTATCTTATTTCTTGACCCTAAATGAAAACAATTAGTGTACTTAAGCTTAACGTTGGAGGAAAGAACTTCTATACTAAACGCGAAATGCTAAAGGATCTCCCCTACTTTCAAAATTTGGTGGGCCAACCGTATGAAAGTACGGGCTTTTCGGAAAATGGAAGATCTGAAATCTTCATAGATCGTAGCGGGGATATGTTCAGGCATATTTTACAATATATACGTACCAAAACAGTTTTTACCAATAACAAGAATATTCTAAACAAGCTAAAGGTTGAAGCCGAGTATTACGGACTGGAAAATTTAATCGAGGATATTAACGAGAAAGAAAAGCAAATCGAGAATAATAAGGACGAGTTTTTATTTCTTGACGAGGAAGAAATTATAAAACTTTACATGGATTCTCTTGAAACATCGCCAGCCATTAATCAGAATGAAGCTCGCAAATCATCTCAAGTAATTGCATCAATGAACATAATAGAAAATCGAGATGTCTGTTTACAATGTGAAAAAAACTTCATAACATTTGAAAAATGTGAACATTTAAATAAAAAGTGTGTCGAAGTGGCTTCGAAGAGAACAATTGTTCGCAGATACGACACCACTTTTACAGCTGATCCTAATTGATCGAGCTAAATAAAGTTATTAAAATTTTACCACGTTGATGATTTAATCAGTATTTATAAAAGTGAGAGCAGTATGTCATTTATGATATAAGCACCATCTTAGTTGGTCTTTATTAATAATGATTACGACATTTTGATTATTTTAAATGTGTGTCTGTTCGGAAGGCCTTCCTTTGCATTTTTTTTTTAATGTAAACAAATACGTAAAAGCGCCACTGCATGCACAGGAATTAACAATTACTGTGGAAGTGATGTCTTTATTTAGCAACGTAGATTTGGCGCAGTGAAAAAAAAAATGTTTCGAATGAGCTGTTAAGCGACCTTATCAATTAAGGAGTGTTCAGATCACAACATTTTGTAAATCCAGCCTGTCTTCATTTCTTAACAACTATTTTCTTTTTGGCATTTGCTGTTTTCTACTTAATCTCGAATGCATGCAGCTATTTTAATTTCAAAATAAAAAGTATACTATAGGCCAAACACACATGAATTATCAAAATTTACCTTGTATGCAAAATGCTGATCCTGTTATGATTAAATCTTTTCTACAAAACAGGGAGAAACAAAACTTTTTTAGCTTTTTTCTCCCCTATTTAGTTGCTTGCATAAAAGACACATTCGGATTTATCCTTGGTATCAAATGATGTCCATAGATGTATATATAAAAAGGCCTGTTTTATTGCCTCCTTTTTGCTGTTTATTCTCTGAACATATTTTTTTTTTAATTTGTCCTATTATAAATGCGATTTAGTATCATAACGCTTTGTTTGGTTTTCATCTTGATGGTGACAACGTATTGTGTCAATGCTTATAATGTTATAAAAAATACTAGAAGAGAGGCCAAAGTTGACAAGAATGATGTGGGTATAAATGCTGACTCTAATCATGCTGGATCAAAACGAAGTATGGGTGAAGATAAAACCAGTGCCTCAAAACAAGTCAAAGTTGAATTATCACGAAGGGAATTTTTAGATCGTAGAAAGCAAGGTCATGCTGTGCATGAGCGTATTACAAATATCGTTTCCGCTGAAAGTGAAGATGTCCGTATTGTCGAATAAATAATTATACATATACCATAAAATAAAAGCTCATCTAGTTGGTCTAAATTAAATGATACTCCAGATACTATGTAGAATTCACAGAAATAAATCAATATGTATAAAAATTTGTCAAATTCGGACCTACGATTATCATAGTTATACTGTATCCTATGACAAAAATAGTATTATAAATAACGAATAAAGTCTACACCTCCCACTTTTCTCCGGCCATATACAATGTTCTAAAACCATCTTGAGAAATACGAACCAAAAAATATCTACACGCACCACAAATTTCAGTAGAAAATAAA